TGACCGCGGTCAAGTGAGCCCTCACTTAGGACCACACAGTCAAGCCAGCCGCACCTAAAATGTTGTTGCACTATTCTTATGCATATTACGGTACGGGTGCCGACTGGCTTAGAAATGCAGTCTTTTGTGTCCTGACCAGAGATGGGCAGTAACGCGTTACTTGTAATCCGATTACTTTTTTCAAGTAACAAGTAAAGTAAGGGATTACTATTGCAAAAACGATAATTAGATTACCGTTACTTTCCCGTAGGAACGCTGCGTTACTAAAACAGTGATTTTTTGCGAGAATGTCTCATGACAGTGACGTAAGCAAGTGCAACGTTCGTGACAACAGCTGTGTGCAGATCAACAATGGATAATATATCGAGTGCGGGAGAGAGTATGAGCGTGCAGCGTTTAAAGCGTGGAAGTACTGACCTTACTTTGAGTTTGATTCCATAAAAAGTGACAAAAACATTAGTGTCCGTTGTGCGTGGGAAGAAAACTTCTTTTTACAGCGAAAAAACCCCCTAAACTTCCAAGCAAGCACCGAGTGCGCTACAACGTAATGGGAAAGTCACAGAGAAACTCGCGGATTCTTTAACTGACCGCGGCACACCTGCACCAGGGTAAACCTCCGCCTACCCTACTCCTGCTTTACAGGTGAAAATAGAGCCAAAGGACCGCTAGTCTTTGATTTTATTTATTTTCTGCTGTGTTTTACTTGCATCTATTTGAAAGAGTGAGTGTAAACACAAAAAATATTTTATTTTATGTGCTGGAATGGGCAGAAAATAAGTTTAAATATTAAACAAATTTCTTCCAGTCAGAGAATGTTACATATAATTCAATTTTTGCTTGATGCATAAAGTTAAAAGATTAAAACTAATTAAACAAGTTTTAAAAAGAGAGACTTTTCCATTTGATTACATTTTATATGATGAATTATGCAGAAAAAGTAGAATTGGGCTGAAAGATCTATCGCTTTATCACCTATTCAGGTTGTAAATCGTGTTTTTAAAAAGTAACTAAGTAATTAATTACTTTTGAAAATTACTAATCAGTAAAGTAACAGGATTACTTTTTGGGGGAAGTAATCAGTAATTAGTTACTGATTACTTTTTCAAGTAACTTGACCAACTCTGGTCCTGACACTATTGTACTTCACAATCCACTCCCAGTTTTGGTTCATCTCCACTTTTCCACTTTTTCCACTCCACCCTGTGATCCACAGCCCAAATTACTGTACGATTCAGAGAAAATTAACAGTAAAATTTACCCAATTTACTGTACTGTACTCTATATTTTCTCATATTTGAGCTCAGATTACAGGAAAACTGTAAGAGGTGACACTGATATCTCACTAGATTCTGACTCTGGGTGACCCCCACACACCCAAGATTACTGTACGGTTTCTGAGATTGCTTTGTTAACCCTCTCAAGGCAGGCATTGCAGATATGCAACAGTTAAAAGCTAACAACCTGATCACCCCACATACATATTTCATGAGTTTTTACTCAGAAGTACCACTGCAGGTATTCTTTTGTGCATTAGCAACAAAAACTTAATTTGAGCCTGAGAGGGTTAAGCATGAGTATGACAAAGGCTAAGAAAATATACTGCCTACAATAATATCAAATTTAAACAACAAATTACAAAATTGCCACACCTGCTGTTATTGCCAGGTGTTCGATAGAGCATTATTTAGTCATAAAAATACATATCACTGAAATATCATCAGTAAAAGAAACACTCTGTCATGGTCCTGGGTCAGTGACCCAGTGCTTTTAGTTATCATTTTCTAGTTTATTATGATGATGATGATTATTATTATTGTTTGAGTTCTATGTGTGATATTCGGTCTGCCTTTGAGTCTGTGTCTCTGTCTGTCTATGGTGTCACCCCATCTGTTTGTGAAGCTGTCTGTTTAGATCTGTGTCTTGTTTGGTTCCCCGTGTCTGAGTTTCCTGTTTTATTGTGAAGGTCTCTGTCTGATGTGAGTATGTTCAGTTTACATTTCCCCTGTCCCATCAGCTCTGATTTCTCCCAGCTGTGTTGCCCTCCTGTCTCTCATCCCCTGATTACTGGTGTGTGTGTATTTAAGCCCTGTGTGTTCTCCTGCATGTTGCCGGTTCGTCTGTATTACTCAGTGTATCCACCGTGCCTTCTCCTTGCTTTTCATCGCTTTTCATCGTCATTCTCCTCTGCTCGTTTTCAATCAGGATTGTGCTCTGTAGTTTAGTTGTTTCCCAGTTTAGTTTAGTTCGAGCCCCGTTTGCTGTTTGTCCACATTCTTTTTGTGTTCAATAAATCACCTTCACTTCTCCACGACTGCCTGTGATTGGATCCTCATTTATTCCGCACGGCTCGCCTCGAACATGCTATATAGGTAGCATGTTCAGATGACCCAATCACACTATTAAAACATGCTTCCTGCTGGGATTTATATAGGTAGCGTGTTCAGATGACCCAATCACACTATTAAAACATGCTTCCTGCTGGGATTTATATAGGTAGCGTGTTCAGATGACCCAATCACACTATTAAAACATGCTTCCTGCTGGGATTTATATAGGTAGGGTGTTCAGATGACCCAATCACACTATTAAAACATGCTTCCTGCTGGGATTTATATAGGTAGCATGTTCAGATGACCCAATCACACTATTAAAACATGCTTCCTGCTGGGATTTATATAGGTAGGGTGTTCAGATGACCCAATCACACTATTAAAACATGCTTCCTGCTGGGATTTATATAGGTAGCGTGTTCAGATGACCCAATCACACTATTAAAACATGCTTCCTGCTGGGATTTATATAGGTAGCGTGTTCAGATGGCCCAATCACACTATTAAAACATGCTTCCTGCTGGGATTTATATAGGTAGGGTGTTCAGATGACCCAATCACACTATTAAAACATGCTTCCTGCTGGGATTTATATAGGTAGCATGTTCAGATGACCCAATCACACTATTAAAACATGCTTCCTGCTGGGATTTATATAGGTAGCGTGTTCAGATGACCAAATCACACTATTAAAACATGCTTCCTGCTGGGATTTATATAGGTAGCGTGTTCAGATGGCCCAATCACACTATTAAAACATGCTTCCTGCTGGGATTTATATAGGTAGCGTGTTCAGATGACCCAATCACACTATTAAAACATGCTTCCTGCTGGGATTTATATAGGTAGCGTGTTCAGATGACCCAATCACACTATTAAAACATGCTTCCTGCTGGGATTTATATAGGTAGGGTGTTCAGATGACCAAATCACACTATTAAAACATGCTTCCTGCTGGGATTTATATAGGTAGCGTGTTCAGATGGCCAAATCACACTATACATAACATAAGTGGTGGCTCGTCCGGGATCTTTGGACATTTTAGTGGAGACTGAATGTCAGTTTGTTTTGCTTTTAAGTGGGTGAGTGATGGTGTTCAGTGTAATTGAGCAAACTCCCTTTAGTGTGTTTCAGCTGGGTGACTGTGCTGCCCTTCCATCGAAGCACTTGTTTGTTGTTTTGCTTTATTGTTTTAGTTTGTATTTGGTGGCTATCCTGGGTGGGGGTACGCTTCAGAGTTTGGTAGGAGACTATATCTCTGGTCTGCTGCCTGCTCTCAAGTTCGCGTTTAAAGTTGCCTCGAGCCTGGTACACCACTGAAGACTAGGGTAGGGAAAGTAAGGGATTTGTTGTTTTTAGTGTACTTTTGGTTTTGTGTTGTAGCAGGTCAGGTAATCATTTTGGGTTTGACTGTTGTGCTCTTTGTGTTGGTCACATGTTACTTTTTGTGTGTTCAGTGTGGCAACTTCAGATCCTCATGTAGGGGCATCCATGCTTAAAGATGCCAACTTGCTTCAGAGGAACTTTTAATTTGTTTAGGGGTCCTAGAGGAACCCTTTTAAGGGAGGAGGTGTTACGTCCCTCTGCAGCTTCTAATCGTCTCAGTGTTTTCAGCTGGTGCTAATTGGCCACACCTAGTCAGGTGTGGATAAAAGCATACCTGAGGCAAGCTTCCCGGCAGTGCACTAGTCTTTGCCTTGGTGGCACCAGCCATTTTAGCCAACCTGGTTTTCCATTTTAGGATGAAACCTCTTCTCACCCACACTCTGCTATTCATCTCTGTTTTTATGTTGCGGCTTTTGAGCCGGGTCGTAACACTGAAGATTACAAAGATCAACATTAAGACCAGTCTGTGCATTCAAAGCAGTGACAGAAAAGAGTGTGGGGCATTAACCCCCACTCACTGAAATGGCATCCAAGATGCCTTCATAACTTTAAGAAAAGGAAAGAAAAAAGGCAATAAAATGCAACAGCCTTTAAATTTGGTTTTATTTGTAGAGTAAATGTAATAGCGTACATGTTAAATAAACATTTAATTCCCACGAAACATACTAATGATATGGCAGACATCGAAACAGGTAAAAGAAACAATCATATTTATTCATTTTCATTCATTTAAAATACCCTTTACAAAGTATATATATAGAAACATAATCCAACATATGTGGAAAAAAACAAAAAAAACTGACACCCTGCTTTAAACGCACATATATAAAAGTTACTCTTTTAATAATTTCTACTTTGTTGTCCTGATGACGCAGTCGTTCACCTGCATGTGGTGCAATCCAATTAGGCTGTCAGTAGTACTTCAGGTCTCCCAGCCCTTTGCCAGACAGGAGGAGACACCAACCCCCAGGTAACTCAAACAAAGATGTATTAATATAACATAAAACAGAGCTTTGACCTTGCAAGGTTAATATGTGTGCACGCCATATAAACATTGGAAGGTGTGATGGAAAAATGAATACATTTAATAAAGAAACGATATTGAACAATAAATGGAATATTTTAAAGTAGTGACTGTAAATTAAACTAAAGTGAATCAACGGGTGGTGAGGTGTGGAGCTTACCATGTGTGGCATGCCATCACACATGGCAACTGTCATGACCAACTCAGCGTGGAAACCTGAGATGAACCTAAAAAGTAGAAAACTCAGGGTTTTTTTTTTAATAATTCTACTTTTTGTTGGCAGTCGCTGTCCTGATGACGCAGTCGTTCACCTGTGGGGGAGAAAACAAAACAAAATTGTCAAAAATGTTAAAGTTACAGTGAAACTTCAAATCCTTGTACAATTCAGTGGTATTTATACTGTAAACTTAATCCCTATGCTGTAAACTGACATGTAACTCTAGGAATCACTCATTTCAGCCACCTTTGCCACCATTTTCCACATTAATTAGAAGAAGAAATGAAATAAATGAATCGATTAGCTCAAAGAAATTCCACTGCAGACGAGTGTTTTGGTGGTTAAACTGCAAAGCAAGCCACGCACATGGTGCAGGCCACTTCTGTGGGCTCTCAGGGATTTATGTGACTAGTCGACTAATTGTCACTAGTCTGTATCAGGCTTACCAGTCGTTCAATCTAATTGTTAACATTTTAATTGATGCCCAATGCTGGTACATTGTGTTCTAAATGTTAGGCAGCGATCTACCACCAGATGGTGCACTGTTGTTGAGAAACGCCATAAATCTATTAATCTACCCTGATCTTCTTGTTAACACTGAGATCGCAGATACACGCAGAGGAAATTAGTTTCCTGAGAGGTGGAAAACCTCTCCTTTAGGAGAGCAGTTAAGTCAATGGGGGAGGGGCTCAGAGTAGAGTCACTACTCCTTCACATCAAAAGGTGACAGCCACCTTGGCCAGGAGGCTGTTCCAGCTGGGCACGTCCTACCAGTAGGAGGCCCCAGCATCCTTGGTCATGCTAGCCAGTTTACATCTATCAGCTGTGGTCAGGAGTGGTCCTTCCTGCTGCCCCACAACCTGACTAGAAAACGGCTGTATAATGCATTACCTGAATCATTCTCGCCACACTTAGACGTACTTTTAGATTCTCAAATGATTGTCATATTTTAATAGAACATCTTTTGTAGTAACGCATTTTCATTTGTATTTAACAGAATGTGATGAATGGTTTAAGATACCTCTGCGTCTAGTTTGACAGTTTCTATTAATCAGTTCTGAAAATCAACTCAATATCTGAATGTTCCTTAGTTTTACATTAGTTGGTTAGTCTAATTATTTCCCCCTCGATTAGTCGACTAGTAAATAAGACGCCAGGAACATCCCTACTCTTCAGACAAAATGTGAGTATGAATTACACACCAAGGTATTAAAATGGATATGGAGTATGGCTTTGGTTTACCATAAACAGCTGATGTAAGGACATCATTAATGTACTCTGTCCAATGAACACTGGAAACAAGACTGCACTGACCTTGCTGGCAAACCTCAATGAGTTCAGAGTTTCCCCAAAGCTGTCGGGCTCCGGAGCAATGTTAACAAACATCAAGCTGCAAATAAAGACATCCAAAATTAGTGCCAAAGAACAAACAGTCACAATCTGAAGTGGTGAGATCAAACGCTGTTAAATATTTTTTGGGGATAAATTCCTTCAGTTTTATGTGTCGTCATTATAAAGATTTGTGATGTCAACAAACTCACGTTTTGCCGTTTCCCCCCCAAACATCCCTGAAGGAGGTACGTGAGCTTCGAGTTCCTGTAAGCTACGTAAGTCTCCTGGAACACAAAGGCCAAAAAAAATCATTAATACTGTAAATGTAAAGAAAGCAGGTGTGACATCTAAGACTACAGAAACTGCAGCTGCAGACCTTTTTGGCCAGAGCGGCGATAACGACGCCCAGGTTGGACAGTGAGCTGTTGATGGCGGTCATCTCTTTGAAACGGTCACCCTGAGACTGGCTCTTCACCATTCGCTCACTGCCAGCCAAGTCCACCAGGCACAGAGTGGCTACACACACAGAGAAAACCAACTCTTATAGGAAGCAGTGATCCGTTTTTCCTTCCATTAAAGGTAGTTTTAATACTTTACAAAACACTTCTTTTAGCGCTCAGGGCTCAAACATTAACGTTGAGTCATCAGAGCAGATTTTGCACTGGTTACAGTAACAATAACTAACCAGACTAAATATTATAGCTCCAAAAAGAAGAAGCCACATTCCTGATGCTGGTACTTCCAGTGTGATACATTTGCACTTGACATCCCTGCCGGCATTAACTCCCTCAATATCCAGCTGGAAGACTGAGTGGGAGCGAGACGAGCGGTCATTCTGGGCTGTCTGGGCAGTGGAGCGATTCTGATTGGCCAAAGCAATCAGACGGAGAACCTGAGAGGACGAGGGAACGTTTTAAAACATAGAGCATCGATAAAGTTTGATGTATTTTCAAAGTTTGGTAACAATTTGTCAGCAGATTTGAAATTAATTTGTTCTGAGCTACAGATGTCTGTCTGCTGTACCTGATCCTCATTGGAGACCCGCTCATAGGTGAGATTAGTGATTGTCAATTCGTTGCTGGCTGTCTTGCGGATCTCATGCTCAGGTCTCTTGCTGGACTTGCCGGTGAACACAAGGTCCCTCAGGGTCTCATTGTAAATTTCGACGAAGCTCGCTGTGAACTGTGAAGTGAGTGGGGGTTAATGCCCCACACTCTTTTCTGTCACTGCTTTGAATGCACAGACTGGTCTTAATGTTGATCTTTGTAATCTTCAGTGTTACGACCCGGCTCAAAAGCCGCAACATAAAAACAGAGATGAATAGCAGAGTGTGGGTGAGAAGAGGTTTCATCCTAAAATGGAAAACCAGGTTGGCTAAAATGGCTGGTGCCACCAAGGCAAAGACTAGTGCACTGCCGGGAAGCTTGCCTCAGGTATGCTTTTATCCACACCTGACTAGGTGTGGCCAATTAGCACCAGCTGAACACACTGAGACGATTAGAAGCTGCAGAGGGACGTAACATTCAGTATTGATATTTGTAAATGTAAACTATGAGGATTTATTTATTTTTAATTCTTTTCTTTTTTTTCCCTCTTTTTTTCTTTTTCCAAATAAATGTCCCGATTGAGTAATGAAACTAACCCAAAGGAGAATTCTAACAATATTAGACAGACCATTCAATATGCTTTATCGTGGACAACTCGTGGCTAAAAACCCACACACACACACACACACACAAACCTCTAATCAAACATGAAAACGGATAATCCAGCTGAAGCTTCAGACAGCCGTCAGACAGTGAAACACTGCCATCTGCTGGACTCGAATAACAAAGACGCTGCTTTGACGGGTGAGGGAGTTTCAACAAGTCTGCAACGACTCAAGCATCAAACTACAGAACTATTCTAGCGGACATGGTGCTCTAATGACTGCTTCATTAACGCAGCTCAGAAAGGATCAAACATATCAATAAATTATAAAACACAAAACGTCTCTTATTGCCCAGGGCTCAGGAAGTGAGTGTGTTCCTTATAGCCTATTAAACCTTAGCAGGTTATTTTGATGTGTTACAGATGAAACAGCTATCCAGTAACATTCAGCTACAAAAACGCTTTTTTATAATTACTTTTTACAGCTTCGCACTTTTACACAAGTTTTATCATCAGTGTCACAATGGCTGCTGCTAAAATTGAGTACAAGATATTTGTTGGCCTGATTAAAAGGTCTTGATGCGTGCTCAATCATCAGGGAAGTAAATCTCCAAAAGTTGATTCTGTTCTTCTGGACGTAGCGTTTTCAGTCAGAGAAACCAGCCGACTGAAGGAACAATGGGCTGGGAGGTCAGTTCCTTAATCATGATTATGCAAATGCTCATGACCATTGATCAACAACCACTGATCAATGGTCCTGAGTACCATTCACAGAGAGTTGGAGAACGGCTGCAATCACAGCATTGTAAGATGGTGACAGATGTACCCTTAGGCCCCCTCCTTGATTCAGAGAGGGTCTTTCCCTTTTCACGTAAATGGCCTCCTTGACTCCGCCCTCAAACCAGCGTTCATTGCAGTTATTGTTGACAATCACATTGTGTCGTGTAACCATCCAGCTCACATATTCAATGTAAATGATTTGTTGAACTGAAGACATGATGAATGTTCCTGCATTAAAACACATCCAGCCTAGTGTTCTCACTCTCCCTAAATGGATCTGTTACATTAGTGATATATGGGAGTTGTGTTTCAGTCTTTTCCACATGAGGACATTTACATTTAGTTTTTGCTTTACTGATGAGTGGCTGGTTAACCTGCAGTGGTTGAAGCATGTGTCGGTCGTCTGGAAGAGTAGGTGTAGAAGACGTCTTTAATGAATGTAATGCTCTGAAGGTGTCAGTGATTACTGTGAATTCATTATAAAAGTGGATTTCAGTGAATAAAGTGAATAAAGACAGGCCCTCATGGTGACGCTCAGGTGTCCATAAAGTGTAACAGGAGAGCTTTGTCATACTTTCAGAGATTTTACATGAGCCAGTCTTTCAAAAATTACATAAATAAATAATTCATTCATTCATCCACAGGAAACACAATGCTCATATCTGAAAGTAAACTCTGATATATATCCCCGACTAGAGTTACTACTAAATAAAGGATCGCCCCAAAATGACTAAATATATAAAGACACTCTCCAGAAGAAGTTAAAGGGATTTTATTTATTGTACAAGCAATATCTTCATAAGAATTACAAATTCTGCAGACATATTACCTTCTTCTTACTGAACCTGAACAACTCACACACAGACGTGTCTGCTGCTTATCTTTGTTCAAACATGATGTTTTATCTTCTCTTCAAAACACATTACTCATCTTTCTGGCATCGTGTTACATGAAAACACCTGCATTCTACCTGTGTCATTGTACCACAAAGACAATGATTGCAACACTGTGCTTGCAAAATAGAAGAAATAAGACGACCAGCAAATACATAAAAGATGGTAAAAGTGATTCCACCTTTGTGTCTCCTCCCATTGTTTCCCCAGTCTGTCTAGTTCCCATATTCCCAGGACACCGCTGGACAACAAGTGGGTATTCCAAGACTGAGAGATGGCCAGAGTTGGCAAAAGATCAGACATTCTCCACTTAAGTAGAAGTAAAATACTATTGTTCCAGTGAAAGTTAAAGTACTGATTCAACTTCATTACTCAGCTAAAGCAAAAAAGTACAGGCTCGAAGCGCTTACAGAGAAAAGCATACAACAGAATACAACAGAATGCTGATGGCGGCAGTAACACACACTTGGAGGAGAGGCTCCAGCCGTCCATTCCAGCCCTATCCCTAACATTAACTCTAACCATAACTTTAACCTTAACCCTATCAGGTCTTGTTTTACAAAGCGATTCATGATTAGAACAAAAAACACATTTACACATACCGATGATTTGTCACATAGCATCGTTACCTGTTGGGATGAGAACGGGTTGTTTCCAGAGCACCACAAATTGGGGTGTCTGTAGCTCAGGTAGAGCAGGAAACCTACTAATCAGAAAGTTGCTGGTTCAATCCCCGCCTGCTCCAGCCTGCATGCCAAATATCCTTGGGCAAGATGCTAACCCCAAGTTGCTCTCCGATGCATCCATCGGGAGGATGAATGCGTATTAATGTTAGATAGAAAGCACTTACAGAGAAAAAGCATAGAAAAAAGTGAGTGCATGAATGAGGCAAGTTGTAGAGAGTAGAAAGGTTTTATACAAGAACCAGTTCATTTACCGTTATATTTAGTTTCATTTTCAGTTCTGTACTTTTTACATGTAATATTGATTCATTAGATTGACTACATGCATTAGACCTAACTTGCTGACAGCAAATTTAAACAACCGTAATAATTTATTTTTAGCGTCTGAAATATTTATTTAGTTTGTTTTTGTTTTCTTTTTGGCTCCTGATATTAGTCAACTACTATTTGTCAATGTTGAACTAATAATGAATCTAAGAAAGCTATTTGTCACGGTTGGCCAGCGTCAACCGTGGGGATGTGAGGAAGGAGGAGCCAGGCACGGAGCTCTGAATGCAAGCAGTGCGTTTATTTACAGTGAATGGAAAATAACAATAAATCCGCAGTGCGTTCCCGACTCCCGTGAAATGTCCTCTTCCCAGTGCTAGTGTTCCTTGTCTCCGCTCCTCAGTGTCTGAGCACCCCGTGCTCGCTGCCCTCTCGTCTCCACGCTTCTCCTGGGGAGATAACAAACAGGCAGCCGTAAGACACATACAATGCGGCAGACTATCCGTACTGACTGGCCGAGAGACTAACGTGAAGTCACGCAATGATCCAGCGTCAGAGAGAGCGCCACCGCATTCTTAAGTAGCTCCTCCGACAAGGCTTGATCAGCTGTGTGATGGTCTTCAAGTGTGGCCAACCACCTGGCAGGGCCACACCCACCAGGCCTGAAGGTGCCTGTAAACAGGTGCTCTCAGAAACTCCGGCATCCACACACACACACAGATATACCTGCAAGCAGGGAGAACGAGGGACAGCACACCAAAAACACACATGTCCATAACTGCTGGGTCGTTTAGACTCCTGAGCTGTGCACGAGGGGTCGAACACCCACTGGAAGGCCGGGCACTGGTTTTCAACCGTAATATAACTGATGTGCTCAGGTAACCTGTAGCGCCATGAAACCTCTGTCACACCAGGGCGCATAAAAAATGATGCTTTAAGACACTGATGGGATCGGGCAGCAGGGAAAACATCCACAAAATGCTACTTTCAGTTTGACTCCCTAAGACTACCTAAACTAAGTAGAGTCATTACATGCTTGTTAAAAGCAAACTCTCATATAGTTTTTAATGTGCTTCTTTCATTACAATGACTAGATAAAGAATGTGGCCCTGTCTCTATTTAACACTGGCTACCCCAAAATGTTTCCAAACCTACAACCGTAACTTTCACTGAGAGATTTTTAGATACGGTTATTGAAGCTGTGGGGTTAATTTTTTAAGTAACATGAGAGAGAGGCAGCAGCATACTGTTAGATTATAATATTATTTTATGCCATGTTATACCCCTAACTAAAGATTGTGAATTATTATGTAGTTTTAGTTTGCATTATTCTCCTGAATTAGAAGAAGCTGATAACTATTGCATTAGTTAAACTGATTTGCATTACATTAGACTGCTGATTTATTGTGGATGAATGATATTGTTTTATGATGCATAATACTGCTGCAGAAAGTCATCGCCTTATTTGTCTGATTAGAAGAGAACAGAGCATGCTGGAGTTTTCTGCCCCAACTCAGCAGGAGCAGATAAACGGGGAGCCAAGGTCGTAGCTTAGGCGCCGTGTGAGAGAAAAGCATGTGAATGTTTAGGCTTTTATGATAAGGTGGAGGCACCAGAGGCTATAAGAGTTTGAGCAATGCTCCACCATTTTGAGATCTGAGGCTGTCTGCATCAGTGTCCATCTCCCACGCGTGTGATCATCATCGTTTGACTCAACCCGACCGACCAGTGTTGTTATTGTGATTTTTCTCTTGTCTCCATCCCCAGTATTTTGAACCTTAACAGTACCGATTTAAAATCCTACATGTCTTTGTTCTCAGGTTTTCACGTTCACAAACTTTGGTGTCCACGCTATTTGCCTGCCAGGCTGACAATGATTTAGATCACAGAAACATTTTTAAGCTGTTATTCCTGGTTTCACAGTGGAAAACTCCGGGTAACGTCCATTATCTTTGCTCCTGTATAAGACTTTCCTGAATGCTGAGGTTTGGTCTTCCACATGAAATTCAGTACTTTTGTTTCAGTTTCATTAATGATGCATTGATTTTGGACATATATGTAATACATATGTGATACACGACAGTCTTTGAGTCCGTCCTTCTCATATATAATCCCACTGTTTTTGCACTTCAGATGATTCCAGTAATGACTGATTTAAAAAAGAAAAGTGAAATGTTTCTAATGAACTCACCACGATTCTTATTTCAAACTTCATTAAGAGCTGCTGGATCAACAGGGGTGTCCTGGATTTGTTAGTAATATAATATAGTAATATATTATTATTAGTTTTAATTATTTAGTCAAAAATCAATTCCAGACTGCTCTGAGCAACATGCTGCAGCGAGAGTCCTGACAGGGACTAGAAACAGAACATTTATTGGCTCCCTGTTTTATCCAGAATAAAAGATTCTTTTTTCTTTTGTGTGTCCCGTTTGGATCTATAGCCATCAGAATTGTTGTCTTAAGGCCAAGAAAGATGCCAAGCGGATTTATTTTACCAAGTGGGTCATCATGGCCTTGCCATATTGGTCCATTTGATTGACCTTTATTATAATTATGAATTTATTTTATTTTCAGTTGCAAACGGGACAGACATGACTGTGGGATAGGACAGGGAGAAAGAATGAAAGAAAGAGAGGGAGAGAAAGAAAACCAAAGGGGAAAGAGACGGTGAGAAGGGGGGAAGAGAGAAAAAAAACCAAAACTCCTGGGTCACCTGTATGGAGAAAAAAAAACAGAAGAGAAAGCAAACAACAAAGAGCAACATAATAAGAAAAAAAAAGCACCATCACAATAAACTAGCTAGCATAGATATCAATAGTTACTAAATAATAAACGATATTGTGCAGCACGCAAGATAGACAGCGCACAATGTGCTTTGAGGCAGCAGCCAAGAAAGCTGTAGTCCGCGTCTGTGAATACCCGTGTGTACACCTGTGTGCATACCTGCGTGGATCAGCATGCTTGTATTCCAAAGGTTTCTCCATGTAACGATCTGCTAGGGAGTGTGTGTGTGTGTTGTGGGGGGGGGGGGGGGGGGGGCACAGCCCGTCCTCCAGGGGCATGAAGCAGGTATGAAGGAGATCAAAACTCGAGACATCCAGAGGCCCCAGAACACAAGACACCAAGGAAGACCACAGAGGGGCAGCCGCGCCACTGTCCCAGTAAGAGCTGAGGAGAGTCCCAGATGAGGGCTCATTCAGCAGCCGCAGAGCAGAAGCCAGGGGGAGTTGCAGTGACGCGCCCGTGAGCTCCGCCAGCAGCCAGCTGTGCCTGAGTGACCAAGCCCCAGGCCGAGAGGCCGGGGGCACCCCACCTCCGAAGTGGCCCAGGCTCCAGGCCCCGACAAGCGGCCGCCAAGGAGTGAGCCGGTGTGTACCCGGACGCCCACCCCAGACACAAAGAACCACCAACGCACCGACACCTGAGGAGTCCGCCACCGGCAGGGGAAGTGGTGGTGGGGGGAGATAGGCCTCCAACCTTGGAGGCCTGAGATGTCCCCAGAGAGGTGGCGTCTGATACCCAACCTGACATATAGACACAGACATACAGGCACACACGACACAAACATCCATTCCCACCCTCATGCTCTCATATGCACTTACTCCACACTCAACCGACGTGGAGACAGACATAAAGAGACGCTGTACACACGATCACACTCCCCAAGCGTACTCTACGAACTGGGTCTAGGTACCCTTGCCCCTGGAGGGGGGAACTGCACCCAGACCCAGGTAGTGTTACCCTTTTCCCTGCGTGGGGAGAGGCAGACCGCCCCGACTCCGCAGCAGCAGGGAGGCCCCACACCCCAGACCTAGCCCCCCCGCTCCAGCAGCCGCAGAGGATGGGGTGAGAGAAGACTCCAAACTCCCTCCGACCCGCTCATTGTAGTGTTGATGCATGTGTGTTCTAAGGTGTAATTAAAACCCAGGAGGGCATGGAGCTACCTGCCAGAGAGCAGCAGGTAAGCGCATAGTCCCTCCTGCTAGCCCTCAATGTCTACGTGTATTTAAAATGAGAGGTGGGCAACGACGCCAGGGGTGAGGTGTACACCCTGATGGTAACTTGGACTCCGTGTATCGTGCCCACCCCAAATCCTATTGTATGTGCAATGAGGGTGTGAGTAATGTGAATGTCTAAGTTGTGGATAAAATTGTCCATCTCCCACGCGTGTGATCATTAAAATCATCGTTGACTTAACCCGGCCGGACCAGTGTTGTTATTGTTGTTTTTTTCTCTTGTCTCTTGTCTCCATCCCCATATTTGAACCATAACATACACACAGAGCATCAGTGATAGAAAGCTAGGCTAACATAGGTAGCTACCTGTTCAAGGAGAAACATGTATAGGCCCATCTCAAGTGCCACTGAACATCTAATGATCAGGAAGACTTTGGAAAAGTGCTGTGGGGAGATGAAACCAAATTCCAATTATGTGGCTTTAACTGACCTTTTGAAATAGGAGTGTGATGCAAAAAATAGCATCCCCGCAGTCAAGCAGAGAGATGGAAACATTATGATGTGGCTACAGGACGACTTAGTCGGGTTCCAACAGTCAGGAAATGTGACATCGTCAGACTGCAGCCACGGATTGGCTCGTCAGTCGCGGCACTCAATGAGTCATGAGACGGTGTCTTTCACTAAAATCAAACTGCAGTTTTTTTAAAACCTGCA